ATTTTGTTACACAGTGAACTGCCCAAACCAAACAGACAGGGTACAAAATGATACATTCCACAGGGAAATGTGAGGGAATCGATAAAGTTCATGATGATCCAAGTGCATGATACTGGTGAAAGGAGCTTTAGCCTTGTGATGAGTGCATTGCTTGTGGACACTTTTAAATGTTAGATAGTATTTGTGCTCAACAATATGTGTTTTGGATTAGTTAGAGTTACCTTGATTCAATAAATATTGAATATTATAATATAATAGAAGAGTAAATATGATCAATGTAAGGTTAAGGAATATAAATGTATTGCTCGCTTTAGGTTTGATGATGACAACATACTTGGCTCAGGAAACAGAACTGTTACCTCATATAGAATAGCTGCAGCAGGTCACTTTACAAGTCTCCAGTGAGTTTACAACAATGTTCAGCAAACTTTTTATGAAAAAGACACAAATAAAACTTGACATAGAGTGCTTAAAGGCAATTATATTTGGTAGGCCAGTTGATCTGCAGTTTACCCAGTCAGGATATTACTGCATTTCCTGAACAAAACCAAAATGTTTTCTCCAGCAGTGGATAAATATTAATGGCACCACTTGTTAAGTAGCAGACAGAAAAGTAACAATTTGTCTTAAAGTTACATGAATAATTTGCTTACACTACTTGTCAAAGGTTAAGAATCTTGCTAAAAGATGCATCTATAGTTCAGGAAGAGCATATGAAGCTAATTGAAGGGATCACTGAGAATTATGAAAACTATTAAAGGAAACCACCACATCCCAATCATAAACAATCCAATGAAATGACTTGTATGAGGTAATTGCCATGGATTTAAAGGTATGGAACAAAGATGGAAGTATTTTCAGCCTACAACTTCTAGACCAGGAGACTCAATTTAATCTTTCTACAATAATACATTGCAAGAATGGAATGTTAGTCTTAGTGTGAGCAAATCTCACCATTGACCATCTGCACAACTGCTTACAATAGGGTTGCTTTACTGCTACAATCCCCTTTTAGGGTAGGGCTAAACTCAGTCTGAGGACATGAAAAACAACTTGCTATTCTACTGGGAAGAGGCAGGGTATTATTTAAATGGCAATAAATGGAGAAACATCAGTGTATAATAGGGCCTGGTTGTCATGAACACCAGTCGCTGAAAGTGAACATGCATTTGCAGCAAACAGTATGTTGACCTTCATTGTGTAAGGAGTTGAGTACAGGAGCCTTGAACTGACTCCGTCCTCCACCACCACCACCCTCCTCTGCCTGACCAAGCTCAGCTTCACTTTGAACAATTTCTCTTAACTCCCCTCACTTTCTTCAGGTCAAAGGTGTGGCCATAGGACCAGTTATGCCTGTTTATTTGCAGAGTATGAGGAATGTTCCTTGTTCTAATCCTTCTTGGGCCCCCATCCAAAATTCTTTCTCTGGTACATTGATTATGTCATTGATACTGCTTCCTTCTATCATTCTGAACTGAAAAAATGTATCAATTTCGCTTCCAATTTCCATCCTGTCCTCAGCTTCACTTGGTCTATCTCTGAGTCCTCCCTTCCTTACCATCACTGTTTCCATTTCTGGGGATAGACTGGCCACCAACTTCCACTACAAACCCACCAACTCCCACAGTTACCTTGACTGTACATCCTCACACTTTGCTCCCTGTAAAGATTCTATTCCATTCTCTCAGTTCCTCCATCTCCATCTCCGTCTCACTTATTCTGATGATGCTACCTTACACCGAGGGCCCTCAGATATATCCACCTGTCAATTTTGCCATGCTGAGAATGTTAATATTTTACTGAATGGTTTATCCCTTGAATTACTTCAGCAACAGTATTACTATACATTTATAATTACTGGGAAAATATATTCTGCTATGATCAAGAGACCATTATTGTGAATTTAAATCTCCCCCAGTTCCATCTGAGAATGAGAAAATATTTCTTCTATTATTTATTTTGTTGTTATTAAACAGATGGGAATAAAGCCGCATTATAACCCTAGGATTCTGCCTATCTGTGCAAATTCTTGTTACACCATAAGAAACCAGAGCAGCCATTTGGCCTGTCAGTCCTGATCCACCTTTTGACAAGATTATGGCTGTTCTGCCTCATACCTCAGCTCCTCACAGTCCACAACTCTTCCATATCTCAACTATCTACCTACCCCCTCTTTAAATATTTTCTCAGGAATTAGCCGAATTAATCTCTTTAGAACCGCTTCCAATGCCAGTATATCCTTTGTAAATATGGGACTACAGCTGTACACAGAGCTCCAGGTGCAGCCTGACCAACATCGTTTACAGTTGCAACAAGACATTCCTGCTTTTGAACTCCATCCCCCTAGCAATAAAGGCCAACATTCCACTTGTCTTCTTAATAACTTGCTGAACCTATGTATTAACCTGTGAGATTTCATGCACAAGAACATCAATGCACGGTGCTGCACCTTTCTGGAGTTTCTCTCCATTTAAACAACAGTTTGCCTTTTAATTCTTCCGATTAAAGTGCATGACCTTACACATTTCCTACACATTTCTGCTATCTATATCCCTTTGCACATTCCTTACATCTTCATACAAAATTCTCTCCCATCTATTTTTAATGTCAGCAAATTTGGATACATCACACACTACCCTTTTTCCTAGTCATTAATATAGATAGTAAATAATTGAGGCCCTAGGACAAATCCTTGTGGCACTCACTAGTTACATCTCTCCAATCTGAAAAACACCCGTTAATCCTGACCCTGTCTTCCATGTGTTAACCAATCCTCAAACCATGCAAATATGTTACTCCCAATGTCATGAGCTCCTATCTTGTACAATAGACTTCTATGTGGCACTTTATCGAATGCCTTCTGAGAAACCAAATAGCTTCCAACTATTTGTTATGCTGTATTAACTGTGCTTGTTACATCCTCAAAGTTTCTGGCAAATTTGTCAAACATGACTTCCCTTTCACAAGATCACATTGACTGTCTGATTATGTTAAGCTTTTCTAAATTTCCTGCTGTTTCATCCTTGACAATGGACTCTAGCACTTTTCTAACAACAGAAGTCAGACTAATTGGCTTATAGTTTCCTGCTTTCTGTCTCCTTCCCTTCTTGAATAGGGTTATCACATTATTTTTCTTCCAATCCATCAAACCGTCCCAAAATCCGCTGAATTCTGGTTAATTTTGACCAGTGTTTCCACCATTTCTGCTGCCACCTCTTTTGAAACTCTTAAATGTACATTGTTGGGTTCTGTGAACAGATGTACCTTCAGTCCCATTAAGTTGTGAAATACTTCATCCCTCATGTTAGAGACTCTTACTAAATCCTTCCTGCCACTCGCACTTTCTTATCTGTAACCTTTAGGATGTTTATAGTATCTTCCATAACAAAGACCGATGCAAAATATTAATTTAAATTATTTGCCATCTCCATATTTCCTGCCTTAAAACCCAGTTTCAATCTCCAAGGGTCTTACATTTAAGTGAGCTACCCTCTTTCCTTTCATAAATCCATAGGAGTGGTGCTGTTTTCTTTTATATTACTTGTCAATTTACTTTTATAATCAAAATTCTCCCTCTTTAATAGCTCTTTAGCTCACCCTCAAGCTGAATTTGAAAGTCTAACATGTTGAGATCACTATCCCTGGAGAACCCTCGAACTATGAGATCTTTTAATAACCTTATCCCATTATACATTACAAGATCTAAAACAGCATGTTCCCAAATGGGTTCTGCAAATGCCAATCCATGTTACTGAGTGGAAAGTCACCAGTTGTAATCTTATGCTCACCTAGGCAACAATCACCCACCTTCCTACACCCCATCCTCAGTGTCACCTTTCTACCTCCCTGTCCTCTCTCAGCTCCTACCCTGCACCCACTTGCTCTCTCCATCTCCCTAACTGGCCTACAGTCCCTCCTTCCATCCCTCTCTAACACACCTCCTGCTCTATTCCAGCTCCCACCTCCTTCCCTGTCCCAGCTCACTAAACCCACCCCACCACCATGCAACTAAGTCAACATCTATAAGTCACAAATAAGGAGTGTCATGGATTACTCCCTACTTTCATGGATGGGTGCAGCTCCAACAACATTTAAGAAGCTTGACACCATCCACAGCCAAAGCAGCCCGCTTAACAGACATCACATCCATCACCTTCAATATCCACTCCCTCCATAACCAATGTACCATAGCAGTGGTGTTTACCATCTACAAGACACACTGCAACAACTCACCAAGGCACCTTCAAAAGCAAATTCCAAATGTGTGTCTTCTAACGACACCACAAACTGCAAGTTTACCTCAGAGCCACACAACATCTGGTCTTGGAAACATATCAGCATCCCATCACTGTCACTGGGTCAAAAGCTTAGAATTCCGTTCCTAAAAGTATTGCAGGTTTACCCACAATGCATTTGCACACCGCCCCCCCACTCCCCCCAACCCCGAAAGGGGACAGCAGCATTCCAAAAAGGAAGCTTACAATTGGGCGAAGGCAACAACTGCTGGATTAGCAGCAACATCTATATTCCTCCAATGAAAAAAGACGCACAGCAAACAACATCCTGGCACTCCAATTTCAGTGGGCTGTTTTGGTCTTCCTTTCATTCTATGCCACTTTGCTACTGAGAGAAGAAATAGTTTGCGATGCCACAAACAGTAATTTTCCATTTGCACCAAAAGTGATAGATGCAAGAGATTGCAAAGCCATTGTACGATATAAAATATTCTGAAAAGGAATCATGTTAGACTCTGAACGTTAACTCCGTTTCTCTCTCCACAGACACTGCCAGACCTGCTGAGTTTCTCCAGCAATTTCTGTTTTTATTACTACTGTATATTTGTCACAACTATTTTCCATTTATTGTGTCCAGATGTTTTGTTCCTACAAGCTGTATATTTTATTTAAACATTGCCATGTGTTCAAATATTACATTGCATCATATAATAATCCCATTGTATAAAATATTAAATGGCCCTTGTTAGGAAGAGCTAGACTTACGGACAATACACTGGTTTCCACCAGGTAAAGTTTTCCATCCGGGGCAACAGTAAGAGTGAAATCGAGATCCACAGACATTTGGCCTGTAATGCAAACATTGAAAATCAAAACCATTTAAACATTAAGCAAAACACCTTACAATGGAAAGATAAGAATTGTCACAGATCAAATAAAAGCAATACTAATTTCTATTTTAAGAATAATCAATAGAGTAAATGTACGTGAAAAAATTATGTTTTATCAAGTTACTGAGTTTTTCAAAATGACTTTCTGTGGTACAAATGTATGCAGAGGAATGGAAACTTGGCAACTAACGAAGTATAAGCTACTTTTTTTCGGGACAGAAAGGAACGCTATACATTTTGACTGGATATTGTACGCTAGCAGAAATGTGATAATTCGCAATAGAGATGTTAATTTATAAACTCGTAAACTAACAATTTCGCTCACAAAGGTTTTGCTGCAGAGAGAAAGTAACAATCTTTTCGAAATAAGACAATTTCCTACTTCAAAACGATTGCAGCTTTCTGAGTCTGTATGTATTCTGTACCGTACAGAAACCGCCTGGTGCTTTCCCCACACAATTAAAAAGAAACACTGGCTTTGATTTTATACAGTGAAGATTTATTATTTTATTCTAAAGGAAGTATTTGTTAAAGCTTGAAAAAAAACACAAACTGTTAAAGAAAACATGATTCACTTCGAAGTTTTGAAGTGCGCGCAAAGCATTGAGTCGATTGAGGTCTAACCGCTTTTGGAAAAACTGTGGAATAGTCACCGAACACTTAAGGTCAAGATGCTTCTCAGTTTTGCAGAGTAGATACCCAAAACATCCTCCCCTGACCTTTCTCAGTATACACGGTAACATTTACAGTGGTGGGATCTACCATCTGTATTACAGCTGACCACTGTTAGGCACAAACACAGATTGAAAGAGATTGCAATCCGGAAACTCTCTAAGAATACACTCACTACACAATTCCTGTCAAAGTTAATGTGGGACAGGTCAGTGAGGAATGAGCTTTTACACTAAAACACAAGCCAAACCACATCTTAAACAAACTTGAAGATTCAAACCCATACACGTTGTGATTTAAAAAGGAATTTATGGAGATACCCTCTCAACATATCATGCTGTCCTCTCCGTCTCACTCTGTTGGTCGCTGTCCTCATTTCATTTGGATTGAATCTTTGAGCTTCAAACTTTCTTGCATACTGTTGTCCAGAGATATTCTCCACCGCGATACCTGCTACAGCTATCCACCCCAGCAGAACTCTCCAACAGCTCTGCATCCCCATCCCGGGAACACACCGGCTCCTTGGCTTGTGGAAGCAGATCCAGATCAAGTTGTTATTTTATAATCAAAAAAGAGGATAACTTCACAGTCTCTGGAGTTGAGGAGCGTTTCACGCTGTAACAACACGAGATCCTCTCAGCCGTTCCTAAATGAAAAATCTGGAAATGGTGCGATTTCCTTTCTTCAAACACCAGAATAAAGTTTACAAAAGAAAAGATTGGAAAGGCTTTTTGTTTTAGCTGCGGTGTATTGCTGGCAGCTCAGGACCGAGCTAGGCGCAGAGCTGGGGTTGCGGGGTGCTTTGCAGGAGTTGGAATGCACGGATGGAGAGCGACGGCGTACCCGGGGCTCTGGGAGCGGAGACTGAGAAGCTGCGGCACAAACCGGGCCTTTTCACTGTCTGCAGTCACTGGGGAAGGAGTGTGGGACGTGGGGCTGGCTTTAGATCAGGAGGAGGAGAACTCCCTCAGCCACACACATTTCACAAGCTCTGCTGGGTAGTGCAGCCCCAAATACACACGCTCAATGGCCAGTCCTGCCTTCCCTTGTGGAGACTTTTTTTTCCATCTTTACGCCCAGCCCCGCCGTTTGCAAAAGCGATTTGAAATCATTGGAGACATGAATCCAAATCTTCGCCAGTGTGGATTTCTGAATGAAGGAGCAGGAAAGCGAAACCAAAGCTCGGCGTTTCCCCAGACTTCAGATTGCTGCCAGGCAATGCCACAGAGAGGACAGGCACCAGCTACCCTATAGTGCTCACCTGGGCACCGGTCATACACCATTCTGCTACCCTCCAGTACTCACCTGGGCACCAGTCATACACCATTCTGCTACCCTCCAGTACTCACCTGGGCACCAGTCACACACCTTTCTGCTACCCTTCAGCGCTCACCTGAGTACCAGTCAGACACCATTCTGCTACCCTCCAGTGCTCACCTGGGCACCAGTCATACACCTTTCTGCTATCCTCCAGTGCTCGCCTGAGCACCAGTCATACACCTTTCTGCTACCCTCTCGTGCTCATCTGGGCATTGGTCTGCCTGTCCACCCTGCACCCCACCCAGACACCTTTCCACATCCCTACCACAGAAAGGATATTATTAAACTAGAAAGAGTGCATAAAAGTTTTACCAGGATGCTACCTCATCTGGAAGGTTTGAGGTATGAAGAAAGGCTGGATAGGCTAGGACTTTATTCCCTGGAGCACAGGACACTGAGGGATGACCTTATAAAACCATGAGAGGCATAGATAAGCTGGATAGCCACAGCTTTTTTCCCATGTTAGGTGAGATTAAAACTAGAGGGCATAGGTTTAAGGTGAGAGGGAAAAGATACAATAGGGTCAGAGGGGCAATTGTTTTCCACAGAGGATGGTGAGTGCCTGGAATGGACTGGCAGAGGTAGTGGCGGATGCGAGTAAAATTTTGTCATTTGAGAAACATTTAGACAAGTACATGGATGGGATGTGTATGGAGGGATATGGACCAAACGCAGGCAAATTGAACCAGATTAATTGTAAAAACTGGGCGGCATGGACACGTTGGGCTGAAGGACCTTTCCCATGCTGTAAATCTCTATGACTCCCACCCTGTGCCCCTTTACTCTCTCCATCTCCTGACCTGACCCCTCCCACCATCTGTCCATCCTGGAACCTTCTCCTTCTGCCATCGCCATCCCAAATTCATCCCACCACCCACTTCCCCTCCCACTTCCACCATTGTCGCACCTCTCAGCCATGCCTCTTCCCAACTCTATCTACACCCATTTCCCTCCCTGCCTATCCCGCCTCCCACTCTATCCCACCTCCCTCACTGTCCCAGCTGCCCTCCACCATCACTTCATTTCCATTCCCTACCAGACCACTGTCCTAATTTGCCCTAACCACAATCTTTTTACTAAAAACCCCCACCCCCCGATTCTGTTCCTAGCTCACAAATTGTCTCAAACTTTCAGGAATTGCTTCGAATTTTCAATTAACCAGTCGAAAAAGGTTTGCCATCATACATTTATTTTACATTCTCTCAACAGGTTGCTCGCAAACGTTCACTACACCCTCATTCTGAGCAAATCTTGGCACATCTGCTTACATAAAAATATATTTCCAAGAAGACTGAGCAAGTTATCAAAAGCAAACATGATTTGTTACATTGGCATATGTATTTGTCAATATTGTGACTCCTAATTTAGGGCAGCACGGTGGCTCAGTGGTTAACACTGTTGCTCCCCAGCGCCAGGGACCCACGTTTGATTCCACCCTCAGGCGACTGTTTGTCTGGAGTTTGCACATTCTCCTTGTGTCTGCATGGGTTTCCTTCGGGTGCTCCGGTTTCATCCCACAGTCCAAAGATGCGCAGGGTGGTGGATTGGCAATGCTAAATTGCCCATAGTGTTCAGGGATGTGTAGCTTAGGTGAGTTATAGGGGGATGGGTCTGGGTGGGACGCTCCAAGGGCAGTGTGGGCTTGTTGGGATGAAGGGCCTGTTTCCACACTGTAGGGATTCTATGAATATTGCAATCCACATTGTTGTACAACAAAACAAAAAAAAAAACTTTGGTTAGCATTACAACTGATCAAAGTTGTTCATCTTTACAGACTTAAATAAGTTGCTTGCTCTCTGAACAAACTCACAGGTCATGCATACTTCTTAAGACCTCAAAGTACCCACAGGAAAACAGTCTTTTAACTTAATTAGTGAAAATATACAGCCCGGCTTTGAATCAACAGCAATCATAAAACTTTTTGTTGATGAATTTACATTACAACTTCAATGCCTTCTCAAAGCAGAGTTCATCTTACAATGCCAGTAAGGTCTTAGTATTAATCTGGGGTTGAGACACAACCTGACCATGAAGTGAAGCAGTTTAAAGCTGCATGAATGAGACTATCTCTTCGATTACATTTGACACCACAAGCAGTGCAACCAAAGTTAAGCATTGCCCACAGCATCCAGCCTTTGCACCTCTTAGACACCCGTGAAAGCTGTCTGGAGTTAATTTAAATGTTTAAGCAGCGCAGATGCTTTCACCCATATTCATTGGGATATTTTAAGGTCATGAAAGGTATTATATAAATGAAACTTCCTCTTCTCCTTTACATGTTTAAGTGTTAACTATCAAGAGAGGAGCCCTGTACTTGTGACTAACCAGACTTGTGCTAAATGCTAGTCAGGGGAGTTGAAATTCCAGTCAGGAAATTTAAATTGGGCTACAGTCTGGTTAGAGCTCATACAAAGCATTTTTTAAAAAAGCAGAAATATGAATAATGATAGGACCAATTATGTGCTATTTCTAACAGGTTTCTCTCCTCTGCATGATTGAGGTAGCCCCTTCCAAAACTTTACAACAGCACTGTTACCACCTCAACTTTCCTTATGTAAAATCATATCGTGCTGCACATTGACACAAACAGAAAATCCCTGACAGAGCCCAGACCGTAGATTTTACCTGCGGAGAAAGTACCCAAGTAACAAACAACAGCTCTGAATACAAACATCATTTTGAAAAAAATGGACAACAAAATCTAATGATCATCTTTTCAATAAAGATAAACTAGTCAAAGGACCCAAAACAGATTTCAAATGAGTAAACAACCATTTAACATTGATGTTTAAATTTGAAGTATGAACAAAGATACTATTCTATAAGTAATGACATTTCCTGGGTTATTTGCAAGGTAATGACGTCAGTGTAACTAATTTGACGAGGAATGTACAAAGTGAGTGTTGCAAGCTTTATCGTATATTGGTCTTTATTCAGGAAGTACTCTGGAAAGTAACAACTTGATATTCTATGCCAAAAAATTAGCAAAGAAACTGGCTTATGTGCCACTTCTCATATATTATAACGTAGATTCAATATGTGTCATGTTGATGCTGAAATCCCTTCATCATTTAGAATGATGTTTTGATAAGTGGAAGAGCTTTATGTCTTTTTCAAACAAGGGATTGCACTGAGACAAGTTTGATGCCTTATTTTACCTTCCTACATGATGATCTAAATTTGGGAATTCTTTTCTGAACTTCCAGCTTGAATAATGGCACTACCCTCCATTATGCTTTACTCTGTCATATTAACTAAATAAAAAAAAGTGTCCCCAGCCGAGCACTCGTCCTGCGCAGACCAACAGGGGGAGGTATTCACCGACATCTTCACCCTCTCCCTCCTATAAGCTGAAGTCCCCACCTGCTTCAAGAAGACCACCATCTTCCCTGTACCTAAGCAAACACATGCAACGTGCCTTAATGACTACCGCCCAGTCACTCTGACCTCAATAATCACGAAGTGCTTCAAGAGGCTGGTCATGGCCGACATCATCTCCAGTCTCCCTACCTGCCTCGATCCCCTACAGTTTGCCTACTGACGTAACAGGTCCACAGAGGATGCCATATCCCTGCCCTGTGCTCATCCCTGGATCATCTGGACAACAAGCACACCTACATCAAACTCTTGCTCATTGACTACAGCTCCACCTTCAACACCATTATCCCCTCCAGACTGATCTCAAAACTCTGTGACCTAGGTCTTGGCTCCGCCCTCTACAACTGGATCCTCAGCTTCCTGACCCACAGACCGCAGTCAGCGAGGATCGGTAACTGCACCCTTTCCACAATAACACTCAACACTGGAGCTCCCCCAGGGATGCTTCCTCAGTCCCCTACTGTACTCCCTGTACACCCACGACTGTGGTGCCAAATTCCAAATGAACGCCATCTACAAGTTCGCTGATGACACCACCACAGTGAGGTGGATATCTAACAACGACGACTTATGCTACAGAAGGAAGATAGAGGGCTTAGTGACGTGGTGCAATAAAAACAATCTGTCTCTCAATTTTTGGCAAAACTAAAGAACAAATCATCGACTTCAGAAAGAAAAGAGGGGAACACACCCCCATCTACATCAACGGAACTGAGTTGGAGAGAGTGAAGAGCATCAAGTTTCTCGGAGTGATGATAACCGATGACCTGTCCTGGACTTCCCACGTAGATGGGACAGTGAAGAAGGCACAACAGCACTTCTTCTTCCTCAGGCAGCTCAGGAAATTTGGCATG